CAAGGTGCAGGTACCATTAAGTGGAGTTCTGTCCATCTCTCTGACTCGTAAGTACTCTCACCATTAAAAACTGAACAGTTGGTGCAATGTACTTGTATTCAAGGTCATCTGGTTTGAATATTGCTTGGACTGGTGACTGTCCTGATGTAGATTTTTCATGGTTTTCCTCACTCTCTAAGATTGTTTCAGAATAATACCTTCGCACGGGACATGAACACTCTGAAATCCAATTAACCAATTTTTCCATCTGCAGCTGTTGAATGAGCAGCTCAGTGTGGATCAGTTTTCACCGGTGCTATGTCCCCGAGCATCGCAGCTGATTGCGGCCTATGACGAACATGTTCTGGTTTCCAACTTCAAATTTGGTGTGTTGTACCAACGGTTTGGACAGACAACAGAGGAGCAATTATTTGGCAATGTTCATTCCAGTGCAGCATTGGATGAATTCCTGGAACTTCTGGGACAGCGAATTCAGCTTAAGGACCACAAAGGGTATGAGTTTTGATGTCATATTTTTATACTTAATTTCCATACCCATAAGAAAAGGGATGTATGAGAAGAACAGTAATTTGTTAAATTAAGCAGAACCACAAAAAAATTGCAGAGAAGAAATAAAATTCCTGATTTATTGATATTCCTAAAGTTATTTGAGGGATACAAGAATGTCATAGGAGATGTATATATCGGTAAGTGTGCGTCTATCTACACCCACCGACAACTATTTTATCAGTTGACTGATTTCAATCACATTCTGTATGAAATGTGTGCTATTGGAGACATCCCATATCATATTTTAATCATACTGTCAGCATTACCAACATGCTGGAAACATTCATATAGTATACAGTGTGTGTTTGTCTGTTTCCTGTTAGTAAGTTAGAAGTCCCTCTCACTTCAGTCCATTCAGTGATTGTCCTTGATTTCTTGTTCCATGTGGTCTCTAAAGTGAAGTAAAGTTTGTCCTGCTACGTGCTGTAGCTCCTTTCTTGACCTCGGCACTAGATGGGGGTGAGTGGTCGGCATCACGCCCCGGCCGGCTTTACCCCCGGGAAAGGACCCCAGTACCCATTGTAGAAGAGGCTGGGTGGGCCCCAGAGCCGGTCTGAACGCAGAAGCTAGAGGAAAAATCCTCTGCCCCCGTCGGGGATCGAACCCCGGTCGTCCAGCCCGTAACTAGTCACTATACTGACTGAGCTATTCCATGTGGTCTGTAATTCATCATTAATTTTGAGAGTCTTTTTCTCTGCATTCTGTGGACATAGCAAATCTTTCTCTTATAGTTCTTTATTAAGTGGCAAACAAAATAAATGTCCTGTACTTTTGTGTTAATTTTTTCTCTCCAGATAATGCAAGGGCTTAGTCATATTTTTATGTGATACAACTTTGTATAGTAGACTTTTGCTTATTTATATCTTTAAATTGTGTATTATTTTGCCGGTCTGTGTCTCAGATACCGAGGTGGTTTGGACACGCAGTTTGGCCACACAGGAGATGAAGCAGTGTATGAAGTATTTAAGGACCGAGAAATAATATTTCATGTTTCCACATTGCTGCCATACAGGGACAGTGATCCCCAACAACTGCAAAGGAAGAGGCACATTGGTATGTGTAGCGAGTAGTGTCTACTGCGCTCGTGCAGAACAGGGCTACTCTTTCTGAACTTAGAAATTTCCCGTGACAAAAATCATCTACTTCTTAAGTAAAACTGTAATTTAGCTAAATCGTGAACAAAGTAAAATGACAGTTGTTGAAGGACTTCTTAAGATAAAATTGGTGTATATACATGAAAGTGGGGGGAATACATCCAGCACCAAGATCTATAATGCAAGGCATTCCCCTATGTCTTGGTTGTGTGGAAAATTTTCATTTACTGCAGAGATTCTCTTCTGAAATCAAAAATTTTTGTATAGTGGTTGTCACTCCTGAGTCATGCAGCATTATTATTATATCTGTTCCTTCCAGGCAATGACATCGTGGCAATAGTGTTTCAAGAGTCAAACACTCCGTTTTCACCTGATATGATTGCATCACACTTTCTTCATGCATTCATCGTGGTACAAGTCCTAGATCCTAACAGTCCTAACACAAGGTGAGTGTTGTGGCCTCGAAGAGGTTGGTCACTAAGTCCATTCTTAATGTGTGTGGCTTGTCGCTTCATATTTTAGTGTTGATTAATTTTATTATTATTAAGTGTCTGTGATTTGTAGAAGATACGTCTAGTTAACCTCATTCTGAAGGGAAAATATTAACATTTATGTAAAAGTAAGTCACTGTTTTTTGACTATCATGATAGAGCAGTGTCATCTGTCATAAATTTAAGGGAAATGGACAGTGAGTGTGATTTTGATGATAGTGATTGAAGCAGTACTTTGGACAGTGAAGGAGAATTATATGGGATCATCAGATTGCAGAACAGTGATTAGGAAGTACAGGCAAATGGTGGATATTTTTAGCTTAGGTCCTGCACACGAAACGCAGGCTGTGACATCACCCATACTTCTGGTTATTTTGAGCCCAGAGTGTAAGGTCTTCTTAAGCAGTCAGTCAAAAAATTCTGTGCTTTTCTTTGTATCCCATTGATTCATCATTCCAAGCAAATTGCATCCAATCCATGCCCTCAGACAGCTCTCTCAGATTTGTCTTCATTTTATCCTATTGTTTGTACCCAGGTCTCTGTTCTCAGGTTTACCAACTACAATTTTGTGTATTTTTCTTATTTCTTGCCCTACATCTGACAAAACCTCACGTTAATGTTAACAGGTACAAAGTGAGTGTGACGGCTCGTGATGACGTTCCATTCTTTGGGCCAACACTCCCATCTCCAGCTGTGTTCAAGAAGGGTCCAGACTTTAAGGAATTTCTTCTTACCAAACTGATTAATGCTGAGAATGCTTGCTATAAGGCAGAGAAGTTTGCTAAACTTGAGGTGAGATCAGTACATTACACATTTCATGGTGACAGTCGGCAGATGAGAGACTTTGGAAAAATGACAAAAAGCAGTTGAGATAACTAGTAACCCACTGAATAAGTTTAATTTTTAGTCTTTCTTTGAATGCACTTTGTTAAAAGAATTAAAAATACGTCTAAAACCTTCTTACTTTATATCAGTTATAATCCTTTCTCCCCTGCAGTTGTTATGTGTATAATTTCAGAGTAATACAAAAAAAAAAAATATTAATTGCAATACTTTAGACCTTTATAAATAATATGACATTGGAAAGCTATAAATATATTTTATTCCTACAGTTGCGAACTAGAACATCCCTGCTGCAGTCCCTGACAGATGAGCTGCGGGAGAAATCAAGAGATTTCCTCGGAGGTACAGACTCTCCCCATTCAGCTCCTGACACGCCAAAATCCGATGGAAGCAGTAGTGGTGCTGGTAGTCGTTTCATTGACACAGTGCGTAAGGCTCTTATAGCAAGAGTTCGAAGTACAAGTGTGGATAATAACCTAGGGAGCAGTACAAGCAGTGGACAGGCCTGCAAAAAACTTGTCTCAACTCAACAGCCTCCGCAGCCTGCCATACCAGAAACAACTACCCCTTCAGTGAGTAGTACATTGTAGCTAGAATGTATCCCTTGTTTCTAAGACTATTAAACGAGGGAGAAATGTGGATCATTATTTAAATTAAATATACATCTTGCTTAACTAAATGTACAATTTTTGTCTTTATTTTGTATATAAAGTCAGGCTTAAGGTATCAGTATATATGTCTGTCAATCAAGTAATTAATTTAGCTAAAGCTAGTTTGGTGTAAGTTAAGTTAGGTTAGGTAAGTTAATTTTGACATATTTTGGACTTTAGTTGTTGTATCAAATATATTTTGCAGTCAGTGCATGGTTTATTAGCTTTTTTCTTTCATTGTAACATCCATTACATTATGACACCCTTTATTTATTTGTTGTTATTTGTCATTTGGAACTGCCTTGTTTCAGAGTGGAAGGTCTTTGTCAAAGAGCAGTGGGGGAGGAAAGAAAAGCACGCCATCTTCTCCAGTATCCAGTCCAGACATGCAGAGCCATCGAACAGCTAGGTGAGGTACTTCCCTCGTAGCTAAATGAAAAGTCTCAGAATTGTTGCTGTAGTGGTTCTTTAACTTTTTCTCTCGTGTCTCCGTTTGTTATTCTAGTCCCCATGCCCTGTTCTTTCTCCAGAAAAAATTCTCCTTATAAAAGCTGTTTTTAATTTTTTATCTATAAATTTTACCAAGCTTAACTCCCATTTTTATATTGAATTCATCATATATGAGTTCCAAACTTTGAAAGGTAACCATGAATTTAAATGTAAAAGAAATTAAATATTTACATTGGTTCATCTTGTTATTGATTCCCAATGACCTTGGCCCCCTCTTTGGGGGATCATTACCATGGTTAAAAGTCAAAGTGAAAGTTTTAGTGATATCTGAAAATAAATTAGATTTATATATTTCCCAGAGCTTGCATAGACACGTCACCCTATATCTGGTTGGATGATCGTTCACCTCTGCTTAGGCATGTGAATGTGACGCCAGCAGTCGGCTTTGGCTCTCAGAGGGCTGTTACGCCACGGATTATGTGATGATTGATGTATTTCAGGCCAGCACTATCAGAGAGTGATGACTCATCACTAAACAGCGTGGACTTGGATGCTGCTGTGTATGTGGACAGTGACACAGGTCTGGAGAGCATGTCCAGTGCAGAGACACCCCACAAGGCCTGTAGTCTCTGCTTGGACACTGGGGAAGCAGGCGGGAGGCAAGCCGAGGCACTGCGGCAAGAAGTAACGCGCCTCAAATGTGATAAACTTGACTTGCTGCGTCAGAATGTGGTGAGTGGACTGGGGTCATCAGAATGTGATGGCTGGTAGTGAGAGCATGTTCCTTTAATCCTTCCACACTAATGAGGAGACTTCAAGAAGTATGCGGTTTGAATCCCGGCCAGGTTACGACCTATCCTGACAGTCTTTTTTATGATTTCCTGCAGTATGTCAAGGGGAATGCCAGAATAGAATTTTCAGCATTCATAATCATATCATCTCATCTCATTTTATTTAATGCTATGAAATCCATACAGTTCAAACAACATAATTAAATAATCTAAGACACAGTAATTCTATCCTGTATACCCAGTAAGCATTATATTTTCATTAAACATTTTCTATTCTGTGAATGAGATATGTTGTCCCGGTCATTATTCCACGTATGTCTTTCATATGTGGCATTATCAATGAGAAACCTGTGCTGACATTCCTTACCTTGAGTTAACTATTTATAGCTTTGTACTACAGTTCATCTTACTGTGAAAATGTGAAACAAAAGTAATGTCTCTCTAGTGAGATCTCAGCATGGGAAGATTAAAAAAGTTCAAAATTTGAACATAATTTGTCTGTACATACGATAGAACCCTTGGAGCAGTGGTCCCCAACTCAGTGCCCGTGGTGTTACGGAAAGAGGTTATACTGAATAATGAAGGCCGTTCAACCATGAACATTATAAAATCGAAGCACAGATCTCGACTTACTGACACCCATCTTGACGATTGTTTGCGAGCAGTAACATCCTACACTCCCAAATTTTAAAAACTGGCCGATGAAATGCAGCGCCAAACATCACACTAACTTCCCACTTGAGTAATAATAATTGTACTTATAAAACTACATATTTTTGATTGCACGGTTTCTTGTATCATTAAATGTCGTGTTGTTTTGTGTATTATTTGGTGTACATATCTTATTTGTCCAGAGAAAAGAAAATTTGGCTTTGTTAATTGGTTGGTGCCCCCCACGATGTCATAAACTCTCAAATGTGCCCGTAGGCACAAAAAGGTTGGGGACCACTGCCATGGAGGATTGACTATTACATCGACTTGCTCTTCAGTGCAACACAGAATCAGGGATCTTTGTGTAAATAATTTTTATAGCGTTAAGATTTACTGATTTCATTAGAACTTGTCTTTTATGAGTGTTATATTTCTTGAACTAGCTATCAGATACTAATGGATAATGTCCCCAAGATGAGCGAAGTGTGTGTTGGCATTTAGTGCATCCAGGTTCAGAGTACACCTTACACGCAAGTAATATTTACGTTAACTGTTTATTACAGCTAACAGTTTTAATTCGCCTCTTCACTTTATTTTGGCAGAATTTTCAACGAGACATTAAACGTTTGCGAGAAAAGGAACTACAACTGCAGTCAGACCTTGCAGCAGCATCTAAAGAGATTCTGCGTTTACGAGAGTTGCTGAAAGACTATAGCAGTGGTGGTGAAAGCTCCCCAGTATAGATCCTCAGGCTCCCATCTCTTGTCACTATTCTCCTGAAACACCAGACCAGCTGACTAGATTTGAGGCTTCTAACTTTTGTCATAGCAGGTACGCAGAATGTGGCACAATTTAAATTGGAGGCTTTCATTATTAAACAGTTTTCAGTCTATAAGCCACTTTGATAGTTTTTGAGTCACAAAAGTTTTGTCAGTTGGAATATCTTTTCCCTCTACTGAATCAGCTGGCACTACTTTGCGCGTGTGAATGTGTAAGTATAATGTTTCTTAATAAAAAGTTGGAATTTTGCTGAGTGTAACATTCAGTCGCAGATCATTGCAAAAGCACAGAGAATATTTTGAGATCTCATATCATAGGTAAAAACAATGTTTTTTTTCCTTTGATTAAAAAGACTTCTCTTATCTGCTGGTTTGTACTTGGATGTTTCTCTCGGCAATGACGTGATCTATCCTTCTGGCACTTGCTTTAGTGGCTAGTAGCTTACCAACTTAATTTATTATCTAGTAAGAGTCAAGTTACATTCTTGAGGAATTTTCATATTCAGAGGTCAGTGTTTGCAGTCTTTTGTTTTAGTTCTGAGTAGTTTGTTTCAGTGTTGTCAGCACTGTGTTAAATTAAAATAAATTATATTGTGATCCAGTTTTGTGCTGAGGTTTTGATTAGTTTCAGTTTACAGTGCTGTGAACCGTTCTTTAAGCAGAAGTCGTCAGAAGGGACATAATTATGGATGCAGGTAGGTAGGTAAAGTTTTGTTAGGATCTCTGGTGTAAAATTGTACCTGTAATGGAAGTGTGTTTCCTCAATCATAAATAAGATAAGGCAATCGTAAATAAAGGCGCTGTTGCATGCAGCATTGGATACCGTAGCGTTGAATGCAATGCAACCTCCGTACTCGAACACCTCTGCTACTGGAATTTGTATCAGGTTGTACTGTTAGTTGTAGTTACATGGTATGAAAAATAATACTTTTCCAAGACAGAACAAAACTAGATAAACATGCGAATTTTTGTTTTTCGTAGTTGCTCCAAGAGGTGAACGATCATCCAACCAGATATAGGGTGACGTGTGGTCAGCACGACGAACCCCCAGCCATTGCTAGCTTTCCTGACCAGATTACGCTACCCATTGTAGCTCCCCAATTTCCTCACGATGCTGGGTTGGTACCGGTCCCATACACCGGTCGAAAGCTCATGAGAATTTCTTTCCCCGAGACTCGAACCAGCGCGCATTCCTTATCACCAGTCCAAAGCATGATGCCTCAGACTGCGCGGCTACGGCGCGGGACCCAAAATTAATATAAAGGTAATAAAACTGTTACATTGAGCACTTCTGTTCTATAGTCTGAGGAAGGCATCGTGTACAAAGCTAGAAACTTCGGTTACAGACTTGTAATATAGAGCATATCTCATCTTTCAGCTCGAAATATAGGTACCACCAGCCCTTCATTCTATGGATGATATTTACAATGGGGAGTGTAGACAAGAAGTCCATCAGACTTCATAATGCATCAATGTGTTTATAAGGTAATATGTACTTGAGAGATTGATGTGGTGGTTACTAGCAAACGAAGTGCCAGTGTTCTGTTTCTTCATAACCTTACTTCTTTTTATTTTCAATTCCTTGTCCCCAAAACATTTTATACATTACCCATTTAATAAATTCTATGAAGTTAAAACACACACATAAAATATTCTCAAAATTACGCATTTATCATACAAATATCACACACTGTTTAACCAAACTATTTTTAAGTTTTAAGTTTCAAGTTTCAATGATAACACTGATCAGTTGGCACTACAGTTCGGCCGCTGTAAAGACGTAGCACATGATGGACAGGGTGTAAGAAAACTCAGTCATACATGAATATGGTTTAATATATCCACGTCAATCAGTTAATAAAGAAAATGTACCAAAGCTAACATTCCTCGAGTCAGCCCAATGTGGGGTTATATAATAATATGATGATATATGCACAAACTCGCTTATCATGTGTAAATAATAGAGTTATTAACAGGAGTGAGAAATGAGCTCAGTCCTTACAAAGCTTGACATTTTATGTAACAAATACCAAAAACTATATAAATAATCAAAACAAGTGAGGTAAAATGTTCTGAAAATAAGGAAGAGGGCACTTAACATTCTTAAGTGCCTTCAGATGCATACAAAAATCTCTAACTGGAAATATTCAGTATTCAGACAGGAGAGTCAGTTTGATTTTAAAGTAGTATGTGTTATGTTACTCTTCTGATCTTATTTTGTCCTTATTTAAAGAAAAACTATACAAATATTCAGAATATTTTTACCATTTCAATGGGTAAAACTATTTGTTGTAGAGCAACATGGTCATTTTAAGATATGCACATTACTAAAAATTTAATTTATATAATAGTATGGGAGAAGTTGAAGAGTAAATTATGTTATAAATTGTGTTTGACAGCTGAATTTTTCTTTTGAACTTGCTTTCTAATTTTTACAAAAGAATATTATAAAACAAACCAACAATATTATAGGATTAGTTATACATTTTACGACCACATGAATCATACATTTTTCAAACCTGTGAAAAATATAATAATATGATTTTAAAGGTATCAATATTTAACTGTTATCAAAGAAATTACTTCTTCATCTAAGAAAAATGTTTAGGTTTTTGGGTGTTCATGCTCAGGCACAAGCAAAGAACACATTATGGGTCCATCCATGTCTGTCTATTTTTCCTAGGAGTTAGGCAAAGTTAATCATGGGGGCTGCACCTAAGGACTTTCAGCCAAGGTTTTCCTCAGCAGGTCTCACTCTGGAGCTTTACCCACAGGGCTTGTTCCCTGGGTTTGACACCCCTGGGCTGCTTCTACCATGTTGGTTAGATCACCCTATCCTCTTGAGGGTGAGGTCTGCTCTTGAAGAACATTTCTGGGTAATACAAGAGCATGTGCTTTCCCCTCCAAATGAGGAGCACTTTTGGAATGTTACTGTACCCAAAGAAATACACCCTCCCTATCTTGTAAATATACTGACAAAAAATTGTATGACACTGAGGAATTAATGTTTTTTAAATATTAGCTACAAATTTGCAAGAGCTTACACCAAAATTCCATACTTCAGTTTTGTGGCCTAAACTGAAGATATGTTACTACTGTTTTATCACAAAAGCAAGAGGAACATTCCAGTTTGTCTTGTATTTATGCTTATTTACAGCTGTCATTTTCTTAAGTTGTATTATATTTAATGTGAAGAAAGGAAGCTGTTGATCTACAATAAATATGTTTGCACTGCCTTTGTAATGGTAGATGTGTACTTGTGAGGGGAGAGTGTCATCTTCGTAAAATTAAACATACGATCAAGGAGGAAGTATGTGAGGACAAATATGGGTTAGTACTTCCTTGCCTATTTGTGTTGTTCATTTATGTTTACTGGAAATTTGTCAACCATTTTGGAGTCTCATGACTTCAAAGAAGCAGTGTCACAGTTTAGGAGAGAAAGAAAGGTTGTATTTTGTGAGTGATGTTTCATCAATATTAAATCATTGAAATTTTATGAAGGGTTGCAATTTCTCATTCATATAGTATAATTTAAAATTAACTGTTTGGCTTAGTTTAATTGTAAATTGTATATGTACATAAAAAGGATTAAATTATGTAGTAATGTTACATATTTTATATTCTCTTTTACCCGTTTACACTGTTCCAAATTATAACCTCTCTCCCCCCTTGTACCAATCGTGTCAATGAATTTTCAGACTATACTAGCAACAACACAGCTGCCATTTGGGTTTCCATATCAGGCACACATAGGTCAAGTGACTACATAAGAATTTTATGCATGTAGGTGATCTTATCTGTGAATCCCACAAGACAGCAAGGGTACATTAGACCAGTGTGGTTGAATTTCAGTTGGTCACCGACACTCATCCAAAGAACTTGTGCTAATTTTTAGTTCTAATAAGTAAAAATTACTATTTTACACCAAAAAGGGAAAAATAAAGCAAGACTGGCTTTAAAATGAAAAGAAATACTTTGTCAATGAATCTTGTAAGATTTTACAACAGTGAATGTTTGGATTGTAGTCTTCTCGGTGGACGACTACTACTTCATAGTAGTACAGCCCTTTTGTAGGGCCTTGGGCTCCCCAGCAAACTTCTGGGTGGACACCCTTCACTTTTAGCACAGTGGAGGCAATAATTTTCTCTGAAACACTGGTAACCTACTATGAAACTGCATGCTTTCATATTCCAGAAGACCGCACACCAAATACTTAATATTTGTAGTTCATGTAAGTTCTTTTTGTCTCCATATAATGTGTATTGATTTGGAGAAATTTTGATGAAAGAATGGTTTGGAAGGAATGAAGTGAAAGCTATATTTTATCAAACCATTCACATGAGACTAAAGAAAGCCAGTTGATAGAACAGTACTTATCAAGGATCAGCACTAGATACATCCACAACATTAGCAATTTTCTATTAAAATTATAAATTCTTTTAGCTCAAGTTTTTATTCAAGAAGTTTGTTTCATCTTGGAAAAGTAAAATTTTTTTGTATCCTGTTGAAATATAAACATACTGATGGGAGATTAACAAAAGTCTGTTTGACATTGCAGTACACTTTTGGGCATTTGTCTAATTAAAGATAACTCATTCTATATTATGAGCAATTTACAAGATACTCCCAAAAAAATTGTTTGAAAAGTATTATATTGCCTTGCAAGGACTTACTCTTCTTGTAAACACCTCAAGACGTCTTTCAATACTGTATGTGGTTTTTACATTGCGGACCTGTTTTTATAAGCATGAAATTACCAACGTTTAATTACAATAAAAATCTCCCACATGTGACGACGAGAAATCCATCAAGAACTTCAGAGCGACTGATGATGAATTTTCGTTCTTGTTCTGCTATCTTACGGTAGTTTCGTGAAGCACTTTCTGGCTAGCATTACTGCACGATAGTACCTCTAGTGGATACTTTTCAAACGAATGTTTGTCCATGAAAAATGGAATGATTGCCATGTTAGGAATAATATCATGGTATTACCGTGCTCTAAAATGGTCTCTAACAAGTCCAGTAGAAATCGACCACCTTAACTAACGTATTAAAATTTGTTGCTAACTTAGGTCGGACAATGTATGCAGGTAGTGTGACAATTTAACAAATAACAAAATCATACTACTGCCTACAGACTGAGTGCTGGAATAACCAGACTTACTCGTTTTTACAAAAGGTTTTCTGTTTTGGTTTGGTGCATTATGTTATTTGCGAAATTTATGAAAGAGGATATGTGCAGATGTGTTCCCTTCATCCTACAATAACGAATGGTTCAGTTCGACATAATATTCGTTCAAATATATTTCTCAACATGTTCTACCTTTACCTTGTTTTGTTTATGGATGGAGACACAGGGACACAATATATAAATACATACGAAGGCGAAGTTTAGATTGAGCAAGACCGACAACATTCCGACCGTGATTTCTGATTCCCCGCTTATTTTTATTACCCTTCAGAAAATCAGCTAAAAGTGAACGAAATATTTGGGCGTGATGAAAGGGAATGTGAGATGTTAACGGCCGTGAAAATGTAAGGCCTGGTGCTTTGGGTTGTGACGCCATTTAGTCATGTAAGTGATCATCTGAAAAATATAAATATTTGTAAATGTTCGAAAGGTTATGGGAAGATTATAAATAATTAAATATTTCTTCAGGTAAACATTTACAAGATACACAATGAAATGTGAGAAAATGGTAGGTACAAAGTACCTCTGGCAAGAAACACACCATCAATATAGTAGGTTATTACTTAATCAAGTATGCTTTTTTATCATTAGAATTGTATATTCCTGAATTTAGTTAAAACTAAGAATGTAATAACCAGTTTTAAGTGAGAGTAAGACGGACAGCAGCAATTGATTTATAAATATCCAATCGACTATTCTGTGGCTTTCATAAAAGAAATATCGCGTTTCGTATATATTAGTCAGCACGTGAAACAAGAACACACGGAATTTCCTCGACTCCTTTAGAATCGGCTGAACCTGCACTTATTTTAAAAACGCAAGGCACTCGTATGTTTGAAATGGAAAGAAAACACTGCATCACCCCCTCTGGCCATCACCCAACCCATCCACTCGAAACCTTTTTAGATTTTTGCCTGTCAAGAGTGGCTGCATGCTTTCTTCGACCCGTTCCCAGCCCCTCATTACCACCTAACACCCCTCCACTTGAATTCACGTAAAATGGACTCATCCGATCTACGCATAAACTCGCCAGTCAGTTCGACTGTTTCGTGTGAGCAGCAAGACAGCCCAGTTGGCGAATCTAGGAAGGTTTTGGTTCTGATCCCGCCATGGTGACGTCACTCGCTGTAGAGTAGTGTGTTGAAGCAGAGGAGTAATGTGTTGTGCGGGTTCGAAGGGATTTATTATGTTGTGTGCGTACGTAATTTTGTCCATGGAAGCTACGTAAAGCGTCCCTCATGAAGAGTTCGGAGCAAGATGGTTAGAGAGACTCGTCACCTTTGGGTTGGGAATTTGCCGGAGAATATCCGCGAGGATCGGATTCGAGAACATTTCAAACGGTATGTTGATGGTGCCTCTACTGCCATGGGAATAAGAATGTTACTTGTGCTCCGAAGTGTCGTTCTTTTAGGTGTTCTTTTGGTTGTCGTGGTGGTGTTGTTGTGAATGTGTTGGTTATTGAGGTGCCAGTGTTTAGAAAGTGTTCTGTGCCAAGTTTTCTTTAGGCATACGGATTTCCTGACAGGCTTCGCACCGCCTGTCCCCCCCTCTGGCCTGCCTGCCATCACGGATCGGGATGGCGTGAGTCCATAGCAACCAAGCACAGAGCTTATCTTATGTGTTGTCATTTGCTTGTTAAATCTTTGTACATTTTGTTCTCATGTTTTACAAACAGGTATCTGTGCGGCAGAAGAAGCAGGAGTTAACAAACGGATTGATGCATTTCTGCAAGAAACACTGGCTATTGAGGGCCTGATTAGTATAGTGCTTTGGCCATTTTTGTTTCGTGGCTTATGTTTTTGTATGAACGTTGCAGATTTGTAAGCAATTTTCATGCAAGGTCATGAGTGGTCCAAGACGCCATTTTGAGAACGGTTGTAAACCCATTAGATCGTCTTTGTTAAAGTTCGTGAATTGTGGATTTATGACATTTGTCCACACGTGTGTATGGATCAAGGGAAGGGGGCGGTTTGAGCTCTTGTTTATGCCCATAATTTTTATTCACTGTATGTAAAGGTTGGTAGTGCCGTGTGGTAAGAACTGTGCGGCAGGACACGAAGAGGGGAGGGTTCCTGATTTATTCTAGTCGGTCGAATACGGAAGGTTGAGACGCGTACAGTCATTTTCAATTTATTGTGGGCCCGAGTGAGGACTCATTGGGCTCTGCATGGGGGTTCGTACATAGTCCTGTTGTGGAGTGGAGTAGCATTGTTGCTTAATTCTTAAGAAAACTATGAAAGACAAACATGTGTTGCATAGTATTTTATGTTTATAGAAGTTATTTTTTGTTCAGGTTTTTCATCCCTGCATTCTATGGAGCACGAAGTTTATCTACATATTGATACAGAATTCTATTAATATCACAGAGTTAATCCGTCACGAATATTTTAAAGTATGTTTAATAAGTTAATTCGTTTAAAAATCAAATGAAAAGCTTAACTATGCTGTGAGCTTTAAGTCGAAGCAGGTGGTATACAGTTGCCATTGTGCTTAAAAAGTTACCTGAGCTGTGTGCTTTGCTAAACCCATGATGAATTTTTATGAATTCCTCGACGTATGTATGTTTGTGTGGATATGTGAAAACAAACAAACAGTAAATGTGCTTTTTTTATCACAGCGTATTTCCGGCCTTTATATTTAAAACTGTTGTTAAGAGATGTTTGAATTTCACATATCAGCAGTGGTTTTTATTTGGTCTGTTGTTTCTTGATATTTTGTCTCCTGTGTTTTGTGTTTGTTTTACAGGAGAATAGTAAAGGTTCACGTTTCAGTTTTGTGCATGCAATGACTCGTTTTGTGGATGCGGGACTGTGTGCTCCAACTAATATGGTGGCAATGAATATGAGCATATTAAGGATGAACTATAGTTGTATTTTTCAATTTGAAGTTTTATTCAAGCGCCACAAGTAACGGAACTGCTTGGGATAGGTTTTTTGACGAAAAGAGTACTGAGCTGGGAAAAGGCTCTTAACTTGGGTGGAAGGTGAACATTCATTACCATGTTTACAAAAACCAGTGGTTGGGTCCGGTATTGAGATGATGGAATCCAGTTCATTATTTTACACCGTTTCATTAATATTAGTTACAAAATTATATTTGTCTGCACTTACGTCACCAGAGGTTCATGTGTACCAGTTTATAATTTTATACATGCCACCATCTATGATTTAATAATCGCTCTGATGCTTTGAATGTTAGGTGTAGAATATAAATTGTGTTTCTAGTTTATGTAATTTTCTTCACTCCGATGATTTCCTTTTTCGTGTTTCAAGATAGGTCCATCATCAGAAATTTGTCATCTGTCTTTGTGTTGTATTTTGAGAGACCAAGTTTCACTCCCATACAAAACGAAATGAATTAAGAGTTCTGTATATTTTAGATTTTGTAAATGGGGCTTTTATTTTGTGTTAGTATGTAACTCGGAGATCAGTACATTCAAATGAGATACGACATAAATTATGTCAGCAGATCGCGACATTTGGCGTATTTCTACGCAGTAGTTATTTGATGAAATTTAGATATTCATCGAGTTTTTTCGAGTTGAAGCGTTTTTGACCAATGATAAATTTAAGATAACATTATGTACACATATATTGTGTAAACAGAGATACTGTAACGTGTCTGCGATACGACACGGTTGATGGGGGAAGGATCTTTGAAAGCATTCGTTGATGCCGCTTAAGGATTTATTCCTGACGAAATGCGGGTTGCGAAATACCTGAAATTTCGTCTCATGCAGGCATTAACGAGGCTTGCAAGTTTTTCATTACTAACGTTGTGCCATTAGTTGTTTTTCAGGATGGTATCCTCAATGTAGAACTAACAGAAAACGTGTAAGTGCTAAGGGACATTAATTTTTACGTTAGCGTTGACACGAATTAATGTTTTCTGCAACAAATAAATTATTTTTTGAGGGAAGTTACAAGAACTCTTTTTTTTTGAGGTGCGATTAAAAAGTAACGGGTACAGAGCTTTCATTCTGCGTGGTCTGAACTGAGAAAAAACTGGTTGTAAGTCTCATTCGTGTTTGTTGTCGGACGTGTAGGATGTTCTTGTGATGTTTTGTCCATTTCATGGAGTAATCAGCAGAAATGCTTGGCTAAATTTGTGTTCTGAACATTTTGTACGCTTTCTCCCAGTGTTCGTATAAATTAGGCCTGAAGATACAGCCAAGCGATATAAAAAGTTTTCCTTGCATGCAAAGATAACAGTAAAAGGATTATGAAGCAGCAGATAGTGGCAATGTGCTTTGTAAAGATAAATATTATAAGACGGATGAAACGGATAACCGCTAACTAGCGCATGCGTAATAGGCAGGAAGTTAGTTTACCTTTTTTATTGCAGACAAAGATAAAATACATTTTTATTAAAGATATTTACACTTATTTTGACCGTGTTGTCATAAACTAAGTATTGTAATTAAAGGAAACTTGCCCTGGTGTTTTGTTAGCGAAGCAAATGTAATTTTGATTCAGCGTAGAGTATGCGTGTAGGAGGGGCTTAAATCCAATGTCTTTAATATGGGGCTTCGTATTTTGACTCCGGAGCGGTCAAATTGTTTTCCAGGAAATATGTGTTTCTGAAGACTTCTTCAGCGTTGGTGTTAAGGAATGTTGGTTTCGTCATTAAATAATGCATTGTATCTGAGTGCTGGTTGAGAAGCCAATATTCACGCACATAGTTAATAAATTATTCGTGTTTTATGTGGTTCTGAATCTTGAGTTTTAAAAATTGTTGGAGCAGTAGCAGTTTAAAAAAGACCGTGTTTATTCATACGGTGAAATGGGTGTCACATAGTTCCAGAGAACGTTTTGGGATTGTGGTAAACTTCGCGGGATTCAGTACCAAGGCATCAAGAGTTTTCGCTGTGGACATACGTGAAGTTCGTGCACATTCACGTCAGTGAAAGTATTGGACTTGGGAAGGACGAAGTTAGCAGTTTAGGGAATTGATGTTATATAACGAGAAACTTTGTGATTTTTATAGATCACGTAGTGCACTGACCTGACACATTTGTATTACATAATCATTATTTAAGAACTTGGAACCGCGGAGTTTGGTGTCTTTTAGATAATGTGTATCTGTGTAATGATATAATATACGAAGGCGGTTACAATTTGACCCCGGAATTTTAATTATTTCTGGATTTATCCTTTGGTTGGGAACCCGTCCTAGGAACGCAATGCCCCAGGGTTGGGACAAGGGTGTACCTCGAGAAAGCTCTCTGGTAGGAAAAATATTAAGAAAACTTATTGATCCACTGTGATGAAACTTCCGGGTCAGTTTTTAACTTCATACTAATTTAAGGGCTTTGTAGTTTCTGGGATTTTTTCGGGGTGGGGACATGGATTCTGGCTTTTAATTGAAGTCCTATTAGTAGTGCATAGCTAGTTGAAAATGATAATCATGAGAAACGTGGTCAGGTCGTCGACTTTGATATCCTAACCGGAAGCGAAACTACATTTCGTGCTACATTACGTATTTGGTTCCATGCTTGATGGGGCGTCTTACTGGGCGGAAACGGCTCCTATGCTGACCCGCAGAGACGGTGTTGAGGAATGCATATAGAGCAGGCTGATGTGGTTGAAGCGCCAGGAAGGTTCGGTGCTCGGGCATCCGTAATTTTCAAAATCTTCCTTGCAAGAATTATTGTATTTCACAGTTGCCGATATTTGCTGAAAGTGACTTTTAGTTTTAATGAAACCGATCCATTCGTATTGTAGCAGAAATTTTGTTATGTAAAGGCTCACGTGTTTTGAGGCACTTGTGGATTGGACAGAAAGATAAAAGAATTCTTACCAAGATTTTAGTTTCGGAAAAGTACGTACATGTTTTCCGTCGTGCACTTTTTTTGTACCGTTTTCAGTTTTTAGAAGCACGTGTACGGATAGTACCTTAAATTAAGCCACGACCACTTTCTTTTGTGTTTTCCCCTTCTCACTGTTCTTTAGTGACCCTTTCGTTCAGCACTACACGCTGCAATCTGAGCTGTAGACAGCGTCGTTAAATAAAGTGTGCATAAGTAATTAAATACGAAGTGTTTTCAAGATAATGACCATCAAATGCTGAAGTGGGCTTCGTGGTTATGAAATTTGCTTATTTGCGGTACACTGCTCCTTTGACAGCCTTTTGTTCTCGAACAGCGCGGCGGAAAAAAAAGAGACATGACGTTAAGTGTTAAATGTTGACGATTCATATTATAACCAAGAGTGCATTTCGGTTGAATTAAAATCTGATTCAGTTTTGCGTGTATTTAGGTTTGATTTATATGAACGTTTTCTAAACGTACCCGTTCTTCGCCCTGTGTTTTCATAAAATGTAAAGCTAAAATTGTCCCTGT